TGGAGACTTCTTCCTCTGCCAAAGATGAGGAAGCAGACGACCGTGAAGAGGCCATAATCAGCCAGACGGTGACTCCACTTGCCCTATCCAATGAGGCCAGATGAAAATCACGACAACGCCATGGAACTTTGTCACGAGGGACTGTTCTGCCACCATCTCGACTGTTTCTGAGACATTTTGTTCCTGGCTGTCTGGCACTGGAGACAGAGACAGGAATTAGTAGGTGGATTGCGATGATCGGCGCACGATGTTCCGAGCAGGAAATAAGGCCGGCCGGAGTCTTGGTTCTCTTTGAGCTTCGCCCAGACCTGGCGTCGTCAGGAGCAATTTCTGATTCCGACTAAGCAGGCAAGAGCATGTACAAGAGGACAGAATGAATTTACATTAACCTGCTTTGTCTCGATACTAACAGAAGATCTTCAATAAGCGTTTTATTTACCTCTGGACTGATAGATTGATTTTCCCACATCTATCAGCTTTTTATCACCTAAGATGAATAGACTTCTAATTCAAGATATTTTGGCAGTTTCGACGCCTACTCAACACAAATATAAGTAATATAGTTGATTGTAATAACAGATAAATATGGTCTTATCTACACTCACAATAAAAAATGTGATATTGTTAAGGCTTGGTAGTGTGGCGTAGAGGTAACATGTGAACAATTGTACACTACACAGATCGGGTTCGATTCCATCTGGGGGTGATGCTAAGACGAGCTAAGGTGAGATCGAAACTTCATTTCAGTCCAGCGTGAATGAGAAGACCTCTTGATAAGCATGGCTGTGGGAAATTCATTGGAAACATGAGGCCTACTGATATGAATGTGAAAAAATTCAACTACCAGTCCTCCATCAACTTATGCCAAATATGATAGCTACAACTTTTAATCAAGAATAAACCTGATTACTTGACGCATGTAACTATAGCAAAGAGTCGTCAAGTTTATTTAAAAATGTCAATTTAATTAATTAATTAATTCTATTCCCCTGAAAAGTTTTGGCTGATCTGTTGACCCTTACATTTAGCAGTTTGTCTCAGAAATTCTTCAGTAAAGAGATATTATTATCAATCAAACCCAAATGATAATCGTTTTTCAAGAATAAATGTTTGAGCTGTTCCGACTATTAAATCCCATTCTCATACTCCTTCAAAATTAATCCTTAGTTTTATAACTATGACTGGAAAAAGAGCAGAAGGTAACAAACACGTTGTTGTCCTATAAAAATCACTTCCTAGATTACGATCTTCCCTAATAACCATAAAATCCAAAAAAGTAAGTACCTATTCTCTTTCATTTCAATTAAGAACCTAATGTTCATTCCACATTTGGTAGGCGAAAGTAGGAAACTATCTAAGCTTTCCTTATTACAAGGCAAGAAGACGGAATAGTCATCCATGTATCTATCCAACAATTTAAGGCTTAGTATTGCCTGTTCCAACTAGTGTTCCTCAAGTTTGGCCATATAATTGTTCGCCGAAATGGGAGCTAAACAAGATCCCATCGCATGTCCGTTTATAAAACTTGCCGGCAAAGGTAAAATAAGTACTACCCATTGCTAAGTTAGGAAGTCTAAAGATGGAGGCTTTACTCAAGCTAATTTCTTATGTAATCTCTAGATGCCCATCCAGAGTTTTCAGTAGAGCCTGAATGGCACCTTAAACAGAAATATTTGTGTACATAAACACAGACTCAAAAGTTAATTGCCTATCTTCTTCTGAAAGCATCTGCTGATCAACCAATTTTACACATGCATAGGAATTTTTAGCTGAATATAGCCAAATATCTGCAGCTTCCATAGATGGGTGCATAAAAAAGGTGAAAATTTATGCAAAACGCTCACTTTGTTATTTACAATTAATCTCAGGGAAGAAAAGTTGGGTTTCAAGGACTCTGTTGTTTCATAATTGTTGAGCTTACTTTCATTTCGAGTGAAGAGGTTCAGTGAAGAGATTCAAAGGTCAATTCCACTAGAATACGACGGCGGATTCCTCTTAACCAGCTGGACTGATGACGTTCGTCAAATTATAGACGAAAGCTTAACACCTTTCCACCGGAATCGAAGGAGATTGCCTCGGAAGCAGCGTTACAGTGAATGTTCCAGTAAGCCAATCGACAGCTGGTCAAGAGGAATCCGCGGTCGTTTTCTGGTGAAACCGACCTTCGAATCTCTTCGAATCTCAACACTTTCACTCGAAATGGAAGTAAGCTTAACAATTATGTTGTTGCAACCCGATCTGGATAATGAGTCAACTTTTTCTCTAAAAGTGGGCACCACTGAATTAAGTGTCGTAGTTTCCCTGAAGACTATTTTTATTCCCCACTTCCTTACTTGTTCGCCTATCCTTTTAGAGAGAATGCACGAAGGTAAAGACAAAATATGAGAATAGTTCTCCTTATCTGTCCTTACGTATTTACCATTCGAAATGCTATTCTTTATTAATCCAATGTTATTTTCAATCGAGCCTAGCCGATCCAGTTCATTTTCACAATGGTCTCTATCGGCTAGTATTATGGTCCGAATAAACAAATATTTTAAAACGTTAACGTTTATTTTGTAACTATGATTGGAGAAGAAGTTAAGTATAAAGCCAGCATGTGTTGGCTTTCTATAGACATCTCTGCTTAACTTCTCACCTGCTCTGATCCACAAGACATCTAAAAAGCGTAAATTATTGTTAATCTGCATCTTCATTGTCAACTTTATATTGCAATCAATCTGGTTAATTAACAACAATAAATTATCTAAACTATCCTTGCCACGCTGTCATATGGCAAAGTAGTCATCCATGTGCCTAACTAACAGTTTGAGTGTCAATCTTACCTCTTCCATGATGTGTTCCATCATTCTGGAAACGTAATTATTGGCTAAAATAGGAGTTAAGCAAGATCCCATTGCTAGGCCTTGTGTCTGTTAATAAGCCTTATAATTAAAGTTAAAGTATGTGCTGCTCATGGATAGATTAAGAAGCCTTAAAATTGAGTCTTTGCTTAGATTTGTCTCCCCAATAATTTCTAGGCGTTCATCTGGACTGAGTGTCTCAGCTTTTGAACTGGGATTTTAGTATGCATTGATACCACATCAAAACTAACCAAAAGATCCTCCTCTTTAATACTTTGTTGATCTAGTAATCTAGCGAGTTCATTGGAATTCTTCACTGAATATTTCCACTATTTAGCCAATTTCCTCAATTGTCTACATAAGAAACGTGAAATTCTATGCATTAAAGTACACTTGTTATTAACAATAAATCTTAAAGGAACTCCCTCCTTGTGTATTTTTGGAAGGCCGTAAGCCGAAAATGCCCTTGCATCCCTCTAAAGAAGTCAATTCATTTTCCACTTCTCAATTTCTCCTATGTTTACACAAACGTTAAGCGAGGAATCAGATGATGGCACTCCAAGATATGCTGATGTTCACGAAACAGACTCACTAAGTATCTAGTAGAGACTTCGAGTGTTCGTAAAAATACAAGTATGCCCCATCGATAGTCCCACTATAACTGTGATTTGATATACCTGGCTTGCTATAAATATCACATCTGTCCTCTAGCCCACTGGTACCTGTGGCTCACAATTTAGTCGACCAAAATCTCTTGAGATGATCAAAAGAGCAATATTGGAATGTTACATATTTGAAATATCGAGGCCTCGCAATGCCCTTGATAAACACTCCACTAATTCGTAAGTGACTAGGTTTTCGAAACTACCTTCATCACCTTAAAATAAATGGATGTGAACACAGCTCATATTCAACTAATTGTCACAAGACCTCGCCTATGTCTTATCAACACCCCTGGCGGGACTCGAAGCATGACAGTGCAGCATCTTATTTCGATACGTTAACCAATACGCCACATTGCCATGGGTGCCCTTGGGTCAAAGGATAGATATGAATCTCGAGGAAGCCCAGACATTTTCCCATATCACATTCCTTGATGGGAGTAGCGATGGAGCAAAGTT